CGGCATGCAGTATGCTTCCAAATACTCTTCCTTCCCTATTTCTTGGTCTCCTGATGTAAGGCATTGGTTCCTTTTGAATTATGACTTATTGTGAGAACCTGCGACTCATTACATCAGGGGGTTGATCCGAAGAATTTGTTTGGAGATCCTAGACACTATTTCTTAATCACTGGAGCACTTCAGTTGCATCAGTGATGTCCTGAGGAGTTTGCAGCATGAGGATTAAATGCAGATGAGGTGTCTAGACTTGACTGCAGTCTGTTATAAGCAACTTTTACTTCATTCCTGGTAAACACTGTTGTAGGGAGAAGCCTTTCCTACCATCAAATACAAAGGAGTCTTAAAATTGTGAAATTTAACTTGGCAAGCCATATTCTATAGTTTCATCCCATTGTGACTTTTAAAAAAAAAACAAAGTACACTACACTGTTTAAAGAAATCAAACAAATAACCATTCTGTATACTTGATTATCCAGTTTAAAATTAGTTTCTTCTTTTAATTATCTGCAAAGACTCAAGTTCAAGCAGTGATGGTTTCCTTTCAACGCTTATTGTAGATGACTGTGGAACCAGTAATTAGCAGGTTGTACAACAAGATTTGTCGAGCTGGTGGTGATTAATATAAAGGGAACACCAAAGCTTTTGAATTTGGGACTTGAGAGGGAAGAGAGGGAGGGACTGACTGACTTTTCAGATTATTTCCAAACTGTAAATGTTTCTAATTAAGTCTGCCTGGGTAGTCTTCCTGAACTGACATGTTAAATATTTTTCAAGTGATTATTATCTTGGAGTGTCGGCCCTTCCTTTGTTTTAACAGACTTCTCAGTTTGTATAATAAACAGTTACACAGAGCTTCTTTACGTAAAACTTTTTTTTAAATGGAAAACTTGAAGGTTAGCACCACGTTTATTTTGAGTTGACATGGGGACTGTTCTGAAACATCCTGAGCTCTAAAACAACTTGCACTTTATAGCTGCAAAATGGCCAAATTAAATGCCAGTGAATACAAACAAGGTTGCAAGGTCACAGTTCCTTGGTTAAAAGTCTTACGTACTGAGGAACTGCCAGCACTTCTGAGCTTGAGTTTATGGGACTGCAGTGTCCTCGTGAACCCAGAAATGGGTTGGAGGGTCCGGGGGTCCCTAAAGTCTGGGAAACGAGGGGAATTGCCCCTGATTTGTCTGCAAAATGTTTCCTTCTAAGACACTGTCTCTAAGCCTGAGCATTATTCTTTGTTTGGTGTATTGTCATAATTAAAAAAGAAAAGAAAAAAAAAAGCCCAAGTTGAATCCATACAAGACAGGTGTTTCTTTTCCAAGTCTCCCAAGGTCTTAGTTTAGGAAGTTTAGTAACTGTCCTAACGGATGCAAGCATAAGCCTTTGGTACCTGTGTGACAGCGTATTTGAGGGAGCCTAGGGGATTGGAAGGACCACTGATGTCACTCCGAAATATTGTTCAAAATCCTGAACAGCCATAAGATTAGTAACCAAGCAGAAGGAAGGAAAGCTTGCTGCTCCATGACTGATTGCAGCCAGGCGGCCGTAAGGCAAGGTCGCCGTAGGTGTAGCTGGTGCGGGACTTCCTGTGCCCATCCTTTCTCCTGATGTGGAATTGCCCAAACCTGGGCTGGTGCAGCGAACGATACGAGTCAAACACTTCCCTTGAAGTGGGCCAAGGGGCATTGCACCGGTTCTTTTTAATTCCAGTTGAACTTCATTGGTAACGTATATAGGAAGTTAACTACTTATCTGTATATAAAGTTGTGTAGGTAAACGTCTTCCTGGCGTCTGATATTACGTAGGTTTCTGCTAATTCCATGCAGTGATGTTTTGGAGCCATATCATCTTTTTAGTCTTACTTTTAGGTTTGTAACATTTTTAAACTGCTTTAGATATTAGTGCTCATAACGTTCTTTATAATGTGGCACTCTGAAATTTATACGTACGCAGCCTGCGGTACGAATAGAAAAACTGGCCTAGAGGGCATTGGTGTGGTATTAGAAGGAGTTATTAAGTATCGCAACAGTGCAATGATAGAGGGACTATGCTTCTTAAACCCTGTTGTGCCAGAGTCTATATAATCTACAGCCATAATCAGGTCAAGGTTGAAAATTGTCCGTGTTCCAGTTAGTGTGGTGGGACTCGAGCGTGCTTTTATTAAGTAATTGTAGTGTACGCTGGCCATGAGCTGCCCTCTTCCCTTAACTAGTCTGTGCCCCTAGTGTATATCTGGTGCTCTTCACTGTTCTTGATGTTTCCAAACAATTTAGGAAACATGTTTGTGCCGCAGTTTTCCCTGCTCCGTGCAACAGGATAAAGGCTCACTTTTTGCAAGGGATTCTTGCTAGGTAAACTGGTTAGACCGCTTAGCAGTTCCTGCATCAGGCTAACAGTTCTGGATGCTATTTTGCTTTCATTAATCCTTGAGCCAGAGTACTGAAACCCTAACCCCCCATGCAGATTTTAATAGCGTAATGTCCGTATCAACATAACATGCTTGAAATACCGCTGCTTCTTGCTGTGGTGGGAATCATCTAGTTTGTAGTGAACCATTGCTCCAAAAACCGCTTATACACCTTGAAAGAAGTACCTTTGATAGTTTGGAAAGTTTAATTTTGTTGACTATTCTGGGAAGGGAAAATGGCAGGAAAAACTTCCCAGTGTTCAAGGCCTATGAGAATGGATTGCTTTACATGCTGCATTTGGGGATTTTTAAATGCTCCCTGAGCCTCTCCAAGAATGAAGTCCCTGATTCATTTCAAGAAGGTGCTTTCTTTACCAGGTAAAGCTATTAGGGCAGCTCTGTCTTGTCTGCACAGGCCAAACTCTGTAATTTTGCAAGTCCTTTGAAAATAAAATGCCATTGTTACCTGTATAATTATATATTTTTCAATAGGGAAATGCTGGGGATAGTTTGTTTAGAGAGACTTGACCCGATGAATCGCCTTCTCAGCAGTGAATGGCTCTTTCCCACTCCTTTTTCCCCCCACAACCAGCAATGTGAATGTGTCCGCGTAGTTTGTGGATGCTTGCTTAACGTACTTTTTTATGTACAGCAGTGGCTTCCAAAAGACTTGATGTCCTATTGAACTCTGATCAGCTCCCTGTCCCATAAGAGACAGGGTGGAGCCAGTTTGAACCTTTACACTTTTTTTCTTGAAATGAAGGAGAGAAAAGCCAACCGTAGCAAGGGGGGCAAGGACCATTACTGGAACCATTTCTGTTTGTAGGAGCCAGTATGTAGGGAGATCTTTAATGCTACCAATTTACTTATTGTTAGTGGTAATGGAATACTTACTCCTTTCCTCCCCCCGTACTGGTTTTGACTACATTGTACCCCGTGCAGTGGGGGACTTGGTGTAGTTCATAAAACGAGGTCCAAAACCTTATGTTTGGGATTGCAGTAGTGTGCGCGTGTGTGCGTGCATGCATGCACACACATGTATATATTTATACAACAGGTATGCACCTAGTACTAGCTGCTGGGTTGTTTTTGGTGGTCAAACGTGAAATTCAGCTCCTGCACTACTTCTCTGAGCTCTCAACCAGACGAGCCAAAGGAGTTGGCTGTGTGCGCCCAGAACTGCAACTTTTGCCTTTCAGCTGCAGGACAAAAGAACTAGGTCTGTCGGTGAGTGACAGAGGAAGAAAACAATGGAGGGAAGCCTGTTGTATAAATAGATAGGTGATACGTTTGAGTAGGAGAGCCGCGCCACTTGCAAGGCAAAAAAAAAAAGAAAAAAAGAAATCCCCTCCATTCATGGGTTTCCCCAAGTCTTCCCGCCTTGCTAGAAGGATTGGATCTTGACTAACAAGGTGCCTTTGCACTGTCTGGGCCAGTTACCCATTTTGGATTCCTTACAGCCTGAATCCCGACAGGTGGCATGGGACCGGTGACTTACGAAGGCACGAGGATTGTGGCCCCCAAATTACTTCTAGTCAGATTGGCTACAGGAGGCCAGCTGGCCCTGCCGGGGCCTTGCGTTCCAGAAGCTGTTGCCTACCAAACACTAAGCCCATGTGCAGAGCACACGCATGGTCCTTCTCTTTGCTAATGGCGATCAGCACAAACATGGAGACCTATAGGGATCAAGGAGAGGCTCTTTCTTATTATTATTTCAATGTTTGAGACTTATTTGTGTCTGTCGCTGTAGGTGAACCTTGAAATTTGCCAAGCTCCAAACACTTGAAGCTTCCTTGTTTGGTAGATGTGTGCCACTCAAGCTGGTTGCTGTCGTTGCATTCATTCCACCACAGCCCCCTTCCTCTCCCACTTTTTGGGTCGGCGGTGGGGTATTTGGTTTGTGCTATCACAGCCATCCAAGGTGGTTTGTATTTGTTTTGCTTGTGAGCAAGGCCCTGAGATGAGGAGTTCACTATGGGTGTTGTGATGGGGGCCTCTGATGAAGCCTGTGGGAGCTGAAGTTGGAATGAGAATGCGTTTCGCATTTGCACTGTTTCAATTCTGGTTGGGCAGGGGGAAAGCCCTTGTTTTCAAACAAAGTTAGCTGTTGTAAAAACAATCAAAGTATAAATGCATCTGAAGAGCAATTTATATATAGACATATATATATTTTGTTATGTTACGAAAGGACCATACTTTGAATTGTATGTAAGTAGATGTGGCTGTCTGAACTTCGTGGATTGTAACACTCGATACTACTGAGCTCCTGTACATACATGTGGTTAAAGCAGAAGGAATTATTTTATGTTTTAGCATGGTAATTTGTGTACTGTATGTCTGAATATAAACTAAAATAAAGATTGCTAAATTATCTGAAACCACTGTTGTAAAATAAATGTTTTCAATGCAGATGTATCTGTTTGAGCCTGCTTTTCCTTTAAAACAGCTGTATTTGGACAGTCACTTCTTGCCTTGACATTTGAGCATAAAATAAATATCTAGGGCCTGAAAACAGTTTGACATTCACAGACTCTTCCCAACAGGTTACACCGAGGTACCTACTTATTGCAATTGCTGCTTTTTCTTTTATACTCAGGTGCACATGCTGGTTCACAAGTGAAAGGAGCCACCTGTTAGTGTAATATTCTCTGAACACTTGCTCACGCCATGAAGATCTCCTCCCCACGCTTGGCTGACCTTACTGAGAAGGGACTGGGGAAGCAGGTAAGCTTCAACTTTGAGCAGAGGTGAAGGGGGAATCTGGCACTCAGACTCACTAATGGTTACAGAGGCTTTAGCTTTCATGAAAACACAAGAACACTTATTTTGAAGTGTTTCTGTTTTTTGGGGATTTTGGTGCGTGGGCTCAGAGATAAGGTTGTAGCAGTGTTGGTCTAAAAGTACAAGCAGTCAGTGTGGTAGAAGTGATATCTTTTATTAGACCAACTAGACAGTTGCAAACAAAATGTTTCTTTATTTGCAAGCTTTCAGGCACACACCCCCTTCCTCAGGCATAGGAGAGCGCAAAGATTGTAAAAATTTCTCCCAGGTAGAAATGAAAATTCATATTGGACAGGAGAAAAGTTGGAGCAGTCTATTTACCTCAAAGGTGTCTGATAGCAAGCAGGATGCTGAATTATGCTTTTCTCCTGTGCAATATGAATTTTCATTTCTACCTGGGAGGAATTTTACAATCTTTGCACTCTCCTGTGCCTGAGGAAGGGCATGTGTACCCAAAAGCTTGCAAACAAAATTTTTGGTTTTTTGCAACTGTCTACTTGGTCTAATAAAAGATATTGCCTCTACTACACTGACTGCCTGGGCTCAGATAGGCATTATAATCAGAAGGGAACATTTATGGGAGACGACCCTGGTAATCCCAGGAAGGCCACATGCCCTCTTCCTGTCTTGGGCACTTTGGCTCCTGTTGCCATTGCATTGGCATCTTAGTCTTTGCATGCTGCAGGAACGTGTACATTCCAGCAAAATCAGAATAGCTGTTATCCTCTTTCTGCCATTGGAGATGGAGGCATTGAAGCCCCTGTGACTTTTCAAGGTCATAGGGAGTCTGGCCTAACGGGGCCTGAAGGTAGATCTTCTAGCTTGTAGCCTAGTGCCTGTAACTGCTGGACTGTCCTCCTTGCTGCGCATGCTCCTGCCATTGAAATCATTAACAAATCTAGTGCAAGATTTATCCTGCCCTTCAAGGCCTCTGCTCCTTTGGGGAAGAAGCCATTAAGTAACCTTTCCCCTAACTCAATCAAGCGGCCGAGCTTTCTCTTTACTCGCAATGGCCCCCGGTTCCTCAAACAATTGTGGGTTTATATTGCAGCAGCATCAAAGGTCACAGACAGTGCAAGACCTTGTTAACCTAGATGCTGTGTAAATGCACCCCTCCCCTCCTTCAGCATGCTCCCTTGATGCCTGAAGGGTGTGGGTCCCAGCTGTGGAGGATCCAATTAAAAATGCTAGTGTCCCTCAGCACTTAAACACGCAGGCTGTGCTGGATGACACACTCAGGGAGGGCTGTGAGCTCAGGCTGAGTGATCCTCCTTTCCCTCCAGAGAGTCACAGGATCTGTAACAGTAACATGAGAGAGAGAGAGAGGGCCTCTGCTATCAAATATCTGGAGTCTTACCAAGGGGCTGAACCAGGCCCCTGGAGACCACAAGCCAACAGCTGCATCCAGCATGTGACTCATGACATCCTGCTTCCCTCCACCATCTCCTGGTGCTTTCCCTCGGCCTTGCAGTCGGTGACCGAGGAAGAACCAGCCAGCAGTGCTCCCTTGTTCTGTTGCTCAAGTGCTGCCGGGTCGGGGTGGGGTGGGGTGGACCGGCTTCCTTATGCCTCTCCCAATGGAATACAAGTCCTACCCGAGAGACCACCACACCATGGACAGCCTGGAGAGGCAGCTCATCTGTCCCATTTGCTTGGAGGTGTTCACCAAGCCGGTGGTGATCCTACCCTGCCAGCACAACCTGTGCCGGAAGTGTGCCAACGACATCTTTCAGGTGAGTGGCAGTATCTCTCCTGTTGTCCTGGTAAGAAATGTTTAAAGCTTTTCATGATCAGACCAATGGATCCCGAGGACTCTGCCCTTCCTGTGTCGGGAGGGAGCTCCGGCTGGCTTGGAGCACAGCTCTGTGGATTGAGCAGGACAAGGGACTGCCCTAGAAGGTGCTCTGGCCTCTGCTAACCCCCCATGTTCAAGGGTCTGAAAAAGGGATTAATTCTCCCAAATGCCTGTCCTGCTAGTGCAAATGTTGGGGCAACAATGGCTCCCACTGTCCAATGGGATCTCCTAGGCATTAATGGATCTATCTCCTCAGCTCCTGTAAGGGACAGGAGGATCCTCTTCTTTTCTTCCCTGTCTCTCCCATTTCCCTCCAGTCTAAAACAGGTTACCTCTGCCCCCACCATCAATGCCCAGGCAGTGCAAGCTGGAAGTTGGGACTCGGTGGGCACAGCTACTGCATCTCGTTATCTGCTTGCTAAAGGGTTGCTACCCTTTTAGAGGCACAGAGACATGAAGCTCTCTGTCTCTGGGAAGGGGACTTGGCGAGGGAGGTAACAAAGGGGCCATCTCGCCACAAGTGGGACGACTACCTCTGCAGCTGGAGGTGCAAGGACTCCCACTTCCTGGTGCTGTGGCACCGTTCGTGCTGAAGGAGCTGCTAAAACGTGGTGGCTAAAGGCATATCCCCAACTAAGAAAGGCCTTTTGAAGCAAGGCCTGGGACTCAATGCACAAGTGGAGGAGATGTAGCTAGATATTAAGGGCAGCAGTGATATGAGCATTATAAGAGAGGATTCATAGGTGTTGATGGCACAGCTCAGTTCGATATCTGGGTTAGTGGAAATCTGGGCTTATATAATAACCTGTGGCCCTTTGCATTGAAGCCTGGACACCTGGGACATGGGGGGCCTGGAGACGTGATGTGCCCAAAGCTGTGCTGGGAGTAGATTTCAGAGCCAAGGTTGGAATTTAGGTGCTCTCCATCCTTTGGGTGGCCTTTGAGGTTGATCCCACCGATGTCAAGGGGGAGATTCTTGGTTTGACGGGTGAACTGGGGAGAGTGAAGCACGATGCACTGGGATTTCAAGAAGGGGCTTTCAGGTGCAGCTGTGCCAGGGCTGTCTCCTTGAGTCTTCTGCAGACGGCTGTGCATAGTGGAGAGCTGATGCATGTTCTTATTCCAGCCACTCTCCTGTCCTGGGGGACCTCCATCACCTGCCCTTGAGCTATAAATTGCCTTGCCTTTAGGCTTAGCTCCTGTCCTGGGAACTCATGTTTAGAGCTCCCTTTAAAAGCCTGCCCTTGTCCCTGCTACCTTCCTGCAAGGCTAGGTTCCTGCTTTTCAGAGCACCTTTTAGGTCACTTAAGGCCCAAGCCAGCCTGTGGCCAGTTAAGCCCCCTTCCCCTGCAGAGCGCTGATGGAGATCTCTCGCCTTTCAGTCTCGTGGGACAACCCTGGGGTCCGCAGGCAGGTTTCGCTGCCCGTCCTGTCGCCATGAGGTGGTCCTGGACCGACACGGTGTCTACGGCCTGCAGAGGAACCTGCTCGTTGAGAATATCATTGACATTTACAAACAGGAGTCGGCCAGATGCCCCAACAGGTTGGTTCCCCCAGGATGGAAAGGATCCCTTGCTATGGTGCTAGCTGCAGTCAGCAAGGATGTGTATCCGTGAAGGCAGTATTTAGCTGCCAGTGGTCTCTATGTGCTTTGCAGAGCTCCAGTCGGGCACGATCTCTAGACGGCTGCTTGCTTGTCTGCATTTGTAGCTCTGTTCTTTAGCAAGGTGTCTGATTTCTCCATACTTGACCCCGCAGACCCTGACAGGTGCTGCTCTGGCCCCATGTTGATGCAGGTAGGGCTCCAGAATGAATGTGCTCAGGTTATAAGTCCCATCAGGCTAGCTGGAAGCTGACAGAGCTGGGCTCTTTCCTTGTCAGGCATCATCACTTGGTGCCCACAGGAGTCTCCAGAGCCCCCAGCCCTCTGTGGGCTTGCATGTGAGAGGCTGGAAGTCACTGAGCGATGTTCAAAAGGAGAAGCAGATCTAGGTCCCTTTCTCTCAGCTGTGCTGTCTCTCCCCTGCCAAAGCCCGCAAAGAGAAGGGGAAACCTATTCTTGGGCCTTGAGGCAATGGATCTCGCACAGTCTCTGTGGATGGCCTGTACTGTTTGAGCAAGAAAGGGTCACTTATACACATGCTCTGTTGCTGCGGCTGCACGGACCTGTGGTTCGAGAAGGTCCTTGCCCCAAAAAGCTTACAGCACAAGCAGGCCGGTGAGGGGCTGGGAGCAGAGATTCAGGGACCAGCCCTGGCTCACATGGTAATCAGTGCAATGGTGAGAGCAGAGCCCAAGTCTCTGGGCTTCCTGCCTGCTGGACTTTGCTGCCTCCACTGCTGTTGTGAAGTAAGAGCATGCACAGGCAGCCTCTTGGGAGGTGCATCTAGCAGGTGGTGCTTACACCCAGCCTGGCCTGATCTTCTCTAAAGACCCCCCAAGAGGATCTTAACACCTCTCCCTCCTCCCCCCATCCAGCTCCAGGCCCCTGCTAAAAACGGAGCAGCCGCGGTGCGAGGAGCATGAGGAGGAGCGGATCAACATCTACTGTGTGACGTGCCGGGTTCCCACCTGCTCCCTCTGCAAGGTCTTTGGGGAGCACAAGGACTGCGAGGTTGCACCCCTGTCCGACATCTACATGCAGCTGAAGGTTGGTTCCTCCCTGGGATGAGCCATGGGGGCACCCAGCTTGGTGCGGGGGAGTAAGGATTGCATTCCTATAGAGCCGCCCGCTAGCCCCTGCTGAGGCTCTTGGCACTGCTGGCAGGCTGGCATGAGCACGCCAGTGCAGCAACGACTCTTCCAGCTCCTCTCTCCAGGATCAGGTGCAGAGCTTGGCATTGGCATTTAGCCTGCTCTGTGGGGCTGCCCAGGACCTGGGACAGGAGCAAGCAGAGACTGGAATGGGCATGTGATGCCATGTCAGTACCTTTCTCCAAAAGTGCTCACTGCCCATTAGGTTTCCTAGCATCCCTGTCAGGCTGGGGGGTCTTCCCTTAGACAGCAGAGCTGAGGTCAGGAGAGGTTATGGTTAATATCAAGGCTAAGTCGAGGTCAAGCAAGAGGTCCGCAGCTGGGATTAGAGTCAGGGTCTCCTGCAGCCTGTCCCTGGGTAGAAATTCAGAGCCTGACCCTACACATGGGAGGGGGATCTATGAACAGACCATGTGGCAGCGAGATGGGCAAGGCTGGGGATTGTTTGGCTGGTGGTCGTAGGGGCTGGATGAGGAGGATGTCCATGCCAGCGGTGAGGATGTAGAAGCGTCCCCCCTGCAGAAGTGCTCAGGCCACTACACAGACAGTGATGGCACTGTCCCCTTTTGCCCATGAATGCGGGAGTTCAACTCCTGCAGCAGATGCCATTGCTGGGGAGTGGGGCTCAGAAAAGTCCCAGCTGGTAGCAGAGATGTGAGTGAGGAAGTCACTGCGGCAGGCTCTGGGGAGCAGGGACCATCTCTACCTCTTTTGATCTTGGGATCAAAACGGGATGCTCTTGATGCTTAACTCTCACCACCCTCGCCCACAGACCGAGCTGACAGATGGGATCGGAGCCCTTGTTGCCGCCAACGACGGGATCCAAGCCTTCATCGGTCGCTTGCAAGACACCTGCAAGAACATAGAGGTGAAGGTCCTTCCTGTGCTGCTGGGTTTGGTCTAAGCCTGGCCCATACAATAGCTGGGAGCCCAGAGAGGAGCAGCAGCTCAGTTCCAGAGTGACCAGAGACTCCTGCTATTTATTCTCAATCCCCCACCCCCACTTTCTCGGTATGGAAAACAAAATGAGACGTCATTTGGGGCAGCTTGAGGCAACTTGGAACAGTCAAGCTCACTGGACTGGGCTGGAACTCTGTTCTGAGGCAGCTGTATGTTCACCTACACCCCCCTGATGCCTCCTGGGAGTTGCAGTTTGCCTCCATCATGGTCTTGGTCTTTGCCATGGAGCACCTGGGTCTCTCTTGGCCACAGCTCCAGCGTGGTGGGGGAGTCACCGGAGTGTGGTGCATGGAGACAAGCTGCAGGCAGGATGCGGCTGATACTTGGGAGCACTTTGTTCAGTGATGTGCACAGCGTTCCAGCATCGCTCCAGTCTGGGTAACAGGGTGGGAATTTCCTGTGCCATGGAAATGCCTTTTCCCTTGGGCTCTGCCTGGAATCCTAGAGAAGTTGGGTGGAAGGGACCTCCAGAGGCCATCCAGTCCAGCTCCCTGCCTGAGGCACAAACATCCTGTGTAAATCCATTGTCTAGCTTCTTAGTAAAACCGCATGGTCATCCCTGATGCGACACAAGACTTCACCCCCCGAGTCTGGCACAGGTAAAGCAGGGAGACCTACATCCTGCTGCTCTAAAGGTGGTTAATATATGCTCAAGGGATCCCAGGTAGAGGTCGTGCCTCTCGCTGTAGAGGTCGTGCCTCTCGCTGTAGAGGAAGGCAACCCTTCACCCCAGTCTGTATCAATAGGACCGTAGGGTAAAATTCCTTCCTGACCCCAAATATAGCATCAGTCTGACCCTGAGCAGAGGGCCAGGAACCTCTAGGTCTAAGTCCCAGTGTGAGTCAAAATCCCCAGCCTGGGCTGCAGCCAACATCCAATGCCTCTGAGGAGGCTTAAAAACACCCTGACACGCATAGCAGCAGGAGTCCTTCCTGGCCCTGTGTGGCAACCAGCAAAGCTCAGAAGCCTGGGAAATTCCCATAGAAGAACACAGGCTTCGCTACACCTAGATTATCCCTGACCAATGCTTGCCCAGTCTCTTCTTGAACACCTCCAGTGGTGGAGAGTTCACACCTTCCCTAGGCTGTCCAGGGATCTTTGCTCTAAATACTAAATCCTGCATCCTCCAAAATGCAGCTCCAAAATGTGTTGAAATTCTCCTGTGAGCACAAGATGCTCAGACGATATTATCAGTAGAGTCCACCTGAGCTCCAGGATCCAGCAAGCTGAACTTGTGTTCATCCATGCTGATGGGGTGGGCACTGATGGTCTTTGGCTCTTTTGGGCAGGACAACTGCAAAGCCCAGAAGCAGGCTCTGTGCGAGAAGTTCGACCGCATGTATGCCATCCTGGAGGAGCGCAGGAAGATCATGCTGCAGCGCGTCACCTATGAGCAGGAAGAGAAGACCCAGCACGTGAAGTCACTTGCCAGGCTGTATGGGGACCGTGTCGAGTCTGCCTCCAAGCTGGTGGACACCGCGCTGCAGTCCATGGAAGAGCCACAGATGGCTGTCTTTGTGCAGGTACCATCTCCCCCTTGTTTCTCCTCTTCCCAGGATGAACTGATGGGCTTTGCTTCCCAGGGCCAGGAGATGAACAAGACCAGGCCTGCCTTGATATACAGCAGCTGCGCTGGTCCTCTTGGTGTTTGAGGCAGTCTTGCAGCTCAGTGCCCTAGGCATGGATTAGGGTCGATGGCTCTGAGGTTGTCCATCTTGGCTTCCTTTCCAGCCAAACCTCCGTGGCTCTGGGCCACCCACTGAGTGGGAACCCTTCAAGTCAGAAGACCACCTCTATGGCCCCACTGTCAGGAGAGCAGCAACTAGGATCTTGGCCAGGGAATAGTCTGGTGTGGGATGAGAGCTGGAGTTGACCTGAGATCTACTCTTTTTGGTTATGGTTGGGGTGCATAGCAAAGCCAAGCCGTGAAGGGTTAAACATGGATGAGGCAGGATTATCTCCTTGATGGGGAGCAGGGTGGGAAAGCAGATGGGTTTCTCACATGCATGCAGATGTGCCCATGCATGCACCTTTCCCCTGTTCTTGTTCACTGCCTGTGGTCTCATCTCTCTCCTCTTCTCCCTGCCCAGAACGCCCGTGTCCTCATCCAGAAGTAAGTACCACCCCCCTGCTCTTCACCTCTCCATCCCTGGCTCTCTGGGGCAAGGGGGCAGTGCTCTAGGTGGTCCCTTCTCTCTGCAGGATTTCAGAGGTGACCCAGAGCTGTCAGCTGGAGGAGATGGAGTCCGGCTATGACAACATGGAGCACTACGCAGTGGACTTCAATGCAGAGGAGCGGGTGCTCTACCATTTGGACTTCATCAGAGGCAAGGAGAAGCATGTGGGGTGGTCAGGGGCAGGGACGGGTGTGGGATTGAGTCTGTGCACATGGTTACAGTGCGCCGTTCTCCGCACTGAACCAAGGGAACATCCTTCCTTCTCTTCCTCACTCTGAGTGCACTTGGGCCCCCATTTCCACTATCACTGGTATTAGTGCAGCAAGGAGGTGCTCCTTGCTGGGAGCAAAGGGCCAGCCTCCAGCCCCTGATAGAAGAGCAGTAACCCTGCTGCCTCGCTGTGGACATTGGCCCCTATTACATCCACCTGATTCTCCTCTGGGAGCTGCACTCTTCAAGCCCTCACTGCACATCCCACACATGATGGGGCTCCTGGGAGGTGCAGGCTGGTGTGTGCTGGGCACAGGGCCATGAAGGAAGCAGACTGAGGGCAAAGGGGGAGATGGGTGGTGAATCGCAAGAGGAAGGGGGATAGCACAGAGCCGACCCCTTCAGTGGGCTTTGTGCTTGTTTGTTGAGAGGTGCCTTTTCCTTGTAAGTCTCTGGCATCTCATCTAACCCCCACTGAAGTTAATATTGATTCCCACTGGTTTTCAGTGGGCTTTGGGTCAGACTGGAAGGGATTGGGAATCCAGCTCAGCTCCTCTGATAGCAGTGCTCTCACAGTCCCAGGATCTGGAAAGGGCCAGCTTTGTATTCCCAGTTACTCTCCTGACCTGAGAGAATGAGGCTTCCCTTGGCCTGAGACCCCCATAAGCTGATGGTTCTGGCAGGGGTTGGTGTCTATGAGATGGGAGTGCTTGTACCCATCCAAGCCAGGCTCTGCCTGCAGCCATCCTCATTGCAAGGGAAATGTTCTTAACCTTTCAGTGGAAGAGGAGCCTGGAGAAGAGGGAGAGGAAGATGCTGAAGGGACAGCAGCAGAGTCTGCGAGGGCCGAAGGGACAGCGTCACAGGGCAAGGGCCAAGATAATGTCATCCCGAATGGCAAGGAAGAGGAGGAGGAAGGGAAGGCCTTGACGATGAAGGAGGCTGAGTGTGATGCTGCGGGGGAAGCTGATGGCATGGCCACCCCTCTGGGTTTAGCTCAGTTTGGATCAGTTGCCCAGGCTGGCAAGGAGGCAGCAGAGGGAGACCCTGGGCCTGGCCAGCAGGTAATGGCTTCTTAGGACTCTCTTACCTCTAGTGTGCCTGCAGACACTGGCCATGGTGGCAGTCCTCTAAAACCCAGGCATGCATGTGTACAAGCAACAAGGGGAACACTCAGATCCATGGGGCACCTCAGTATACACCCAGGCCCTACCACCCTGCCTAGGTGGACTTCATGCTCTCCCTACGCTGCCCCCATCAAATGCTGTGCCCTACTGGTCTCTTGAAACTTGTGTGCAACCCCTTGCTTGAGAGCTGCTGCTCTCGGCTGTCATGGAGGTGCTGCTACAGGCCAGCCGTGGCTCTGGGCAAGCTGCAGGGTCCCCTACCCCAATCTGGCAGGAGAAGGCACTGAGCCTCCATGAAGAGGCAGCTTTGCACTGTGGCTTCTGGGCTGGCAAAGATGGCCCGTCTCCCAGTCAGTGGGTGTGCTTCCTGAAATTCATCACCTGCAGGTGGTTTGGTGGGAGTGTTTCTGTGACGGCCTTTGGCATGGCTCAGTTCTCCCTGATCTTTGCTTCCAGAAAGATGCGGCCGCCCTGGATGGAGAGCTGAATGCTGCTGTCCCAGATGTGCCAGGATTCCTGGGCCATCTTGCTCCCCCCAGCCATGCAAAGGGATCTGCCCTCGAAACTCCATCCCTGGGGAACGCTGAGACAGAGGAAGCCGCTGGCTTCGGCCCTGCTGAGGCAATCACTTCAGACAGCTCAGCAGGGAGCAAGAGTGATGATCTAGGCAAGAGCTGTGTTGCTGGAGCTGCCCCAGGAGAAAGGCCTGGAGCAGAGAAGGAAACAGCATCTGCTCCCTGCCAGGTCAGTTGGGGCTGGAGGGTGCTATGGTCTGTCGCTCGGATGTTGCGGCTTTCATTCGTGGGCATGTATGTGCTCGCTCTGTGTGTCAGCTGCTGGGAGCCTGTGCCATGGGCTAACCCAGGGGGCAGCCCAACCTCTGCTTTGCAGTGGGATGAAGGCTCATACAGCTCCCCTGAGATGTGTCCCACCCCTCTCCACGCCTTACCTTCTGCAAGGAGCATGCTGGGAGCAATGGGGTGATGAGGTGTAGGCGCACACAGCTCTAGGAGGACAGGAGCAGGCAACTTGGATGCAGCCTGTCTAGGAATCACAGCCGCTTCTTGTTTCCTTCTCACAGAAGCGGGTGCGGAAGGGTCGGTAGACGGCTGGGCCGTGCAGTGCAGCACTTGTGTGTGTGCTGAATACCCCCTGGGGAGAGTGGGGGCTGGAGGGGAGCCCAGCTTTGGTACCATAGGCACAGGAGGACTGCTAGGTGCAGGCTCGACTCTGGGGGTAACCTTAGGGCTTTGTGATGTGAATGGTCAGTGGGCTTGAGCTAAGGGGCTGGCCCTAGGGGCTATAGAGATGTACCCATGGAAAGACAAGGAATGCAGGGGCAGTGCTTTTCCAGCAGGCAAACCTAGCTACCAGGTAAGCCCTGTCCCGCAGCACCAATGCTGGGATAACCCCAGGGCCTAGTGCATGACTTGCTGTCATGTCCTTCTGAGCCAGAGATGAGCGTTACCGTGAAGCCACAGCAGTCTTTGCCTGGGGGCAAGGATGTGAGCATTCCCCCGTCTCTGGCTACGTCCTATCTGAGGCTTCCTTATTTTTACCCATCTGCAAGCAGGGTGCCAGAAACGCTCCTCTTGCCCTTCCTCCTGCATGGGGACCAGACCTTTTGAAGCTTGAATCTTTTCAAAGAGGGCCCATCTCAGGATGAGAGAACAGCCCCTAGCTTCCTCCTCCAGCCCCTTTCCACTGGGTATTCAGCCCAAATATTTACACTTAACTCTTCGCCTGCATCCCCAGAGGACTTGAGGTGTGCCCATGGGAAGGGTTAACTTCTCTGGCAGGCTCTTTGCTGGCACAGACAGCGTAACATCAGCCTTGTTTGAACAAACTGTTCTTCCTTCCGCGGCGGGACCTGCTGCTTTTATGCATCTCCTACATTGTTGTGTCTTTCTAACGGGGAGAAAATGTACTTAAAGAAAATCACCCAAATCATCGGAGCGCATTATCACTGCCAAGCTGGCTTTGTCCTGCACTGCTTCAGTGACGGTCCAACTTCAAGTTGGAACTCCAGCTCTGGAGCTGGCTACGTGGACATGATTTTTTTTAGCTGCCTGGTCTCTCTGCTTTTCTTTTTAGGGGATTGTTGTGTTATAATAATCCTCCCCCCCTCCTGGCAGCACCTTTTATCTTCAGGCTTTTGCAGAGCTGGGGGCCTGTGTCTGCTCCTGAAGTGAATGAACAAGGTGCAGCGGTGACAGACTTTCAACCCATTTGCCAGTGCAATTGCATGAGTAAGTTGCCTATCTAAGTAGCAGGTCATTGCCCAGGCAATTTGCAGAGGGGAGACGTTCAGGCTCATGGCCACTGTGATTGCACTGGCAAACTGAGCTCCAAACCCATCTGAAAATGTGCTCCGCTGTGGACTCTTCTGGCTGTACAGCAAAATGGAGTGTGACTGTGGCATGGGTAGGCATGCCCATACTGGCACAGGTGGCCATGGCAGTGAGGATAAGCCTGGGTTGGCAGCTGGGGAGCAAGCCCTCTCTGGCTGAAGCCCGTGCATGGTCTTTTCTGCTTTTGTTGCCTGTGCTGGCTAGAATAAAGCTAGTTTGGAGCTTCCCATGCTGCAATCGCAGCAGCATCATGTTTCGTAAGCCATGCAGCTTGAACCCGGGGGCTGCCACGTGTATGCAAAGGATTGAGGACTGCCTTTTCCTTCCTGTCGTGCTAAACCTTGCAGTGCCTCTCGCTGTGTCATCCATCCCCATTCCATCCCCTTCATGGCCATCTCACCCTGGCATTTTGTGTCTGCCTGTCTGTGCGTGTGTCGTTCTCTGCCAGGCTGTCGCCATCAGCCTTCTGGTGCTGGCCTGGGCCATTTTCCTGAGACACCTTTGGAGCATGTGGCCTCTCCATGGATGAGAGTGTGCGGCATAAACCCAGGTACTGCCTGCCAGCCCACAGCTGGTTCTGGGGCTTTGCCTCCGTCACGCTCTGGTAGAGAGCCGGACAGCAGCTAGGCAGGGCCTTCAGGCTCAGAGGCGGGGGGGACGCAAGGGAGAATGGGGTGTTTGTTCATCCTCCTCTGCCGCAGGCTGCTCTGAATACCTGATTCTTTCCAGGACCCGACAGGTATCGAACAGAAGAGCGAAGAATCCAGTGAACCACCCCTTCAGAGCAGGCCTGCTCTCTCCCTATGGCTTTACGATTAAAGGGAGGTGGGTGCAGGCCACCTTCCTCTCCCTGAGTGACCCACTCCTCTGCCTCTGGCACCTACCCCTCCAGTATGACTTGGATCCACTCGGCTCGGGCTGGGAAACCAGACACCGGATCACTTGGTGAAACACGGAGGCCCCCAGTCATATACATCAGCCTGATATGCAGAGGCGATGAACCCTTACGAGCCCCGTTGGAAGCTGATGGTACTTGGTACCTCTGAAAACCAGGCCTTCTTATTTGACTTGGTGTTGAAATCCTCTGGGCTGCTGTGTCCAGGAGATCAGACTGGATCCTCCTAACAGCCCCTTCTGGCCTTAAAAAGAAAATGATCTCTGACACCTGTGTTTTTTTACCCAGAACAGCTGGGATCGTGTGCAGAAATTCAGATTCTCAGCAGATGTGTAATAAAAGGCCAAATACAACCCTTCCATCTCTATAGAGCGTGCCCGGATCTGACGCACACCATTTGTCCTCTGCATTTTCAGAGCCCTGGAGCACGTGGCATTGGATGCTCCACCGTCCAGCTGTGCTTGTTCTTACACTGTTTTTCAGTGGAAAATGCTCCCTAGCCCTAAGCTCGCTGCCTTTCATCCAGACAATAGAGAAACCAGGTCTGGCCTCTTATGGAATTACATTGTTCTTTTTCCAGGCTCACCCTCCAAGCTTCAGAGCCAGCCCGGCTATAGTTTCTTGGGCTTTTTCCCCCCCCACCCGATTCTAATCTGGAAAGAGATGGTTCCAGCAGCCAGCTGGATATTTTGGGTTTGTTCAGGAGAAGAACATGCGGCGAAGCCTGAGAAGCAGGGGAGCAAGCGTGCTGCTTTGGACTGCCTAAACTCAGGGTTGACCAAATTAGGACTAGCAAAGGCCGAAAGAATAGCCCCCAGGCTGCATATAATTTACATAGGCATTTACAGGCATTTAAAAAAAAACAACCCACACCATCTGCATGCTTACAGGCCTTCTGCGTGTACCTGCGTCGCCGTGCAGGTGAACAGATACTGCCGCAGCGATCTTGGCCCCGGAGAGATGGAGGCAGGGACTCTGCCTCAGGGCGCTGTTGCTTGCACTTGCTCCTGGGCTGGTCATTCAGCTTCCCGGGGTTTAGAGAAGGGAGAAGCGGGGAAGGGAAGGGCCCCGGCGGTATTCCCACAGGTTCAAAACAGGCTTTGGGGCCAGGTGTGCTGGCTTGAGGGGACACGCCTCGAACACTTATAAGCAGTTTTGTTCCATATGCATCACCTGCAATGCTGTGAAGGCATCCCAGCCGCGGGCACCCAGGGCAGGTGCTCTCCCCCTCTCCACGCAGCTTTGTCCATGCCCGTGCCTGCAGTCAGCCATAGACAGAACCCCCCAGGCCCGACTGGCACGCGATCAACCCCCAGCCCGGCACAGGGGCAATCGTCCATGGCTCTGAGGGGCAGGCAGGACCCCGGACACTTTCACGACCAGGCCCATGGATGGTGTTTATCGGTGGGGGACCAGAGGGGCTGGCAGGGCTTGCTCTGCTGCAGCTCTGGGCACCTTCACAACCAGGCCCTTGGAGCTAAGGCCTGTGCCCCATGACGGTGTTTATCGGGTAGGCTGGCAGGGGTTGCCCCGCTGCAGCTCCGGGCACCTTCACAGCCAGGCTGTGCCCTGGGTGGTGTTTATCAGGGGGTTGGCAGGGGTTGCCCCACTGCAGCTCCGGTGCCTTCACAGCCAGGCTGTGCCCTGGATGGTGTTTAGCAGGGGTTTGGCAGGGCTTGCCCCGCTACAGCTCCGGGCACCTTCACAGCCAGGCTGTGCCCCTGGATGCTGTTTATCCTGGGGCTGGCAGGGGTTGCTCCGCCACATCTCCAGGTGCCTTCAAGCCTAGGCTGTGCCCTGGACGGTGTTTATCAGGGGGCTGGCAGGGCTTGCCCCGCCACATCTCCGGGCTCCTTCACAACCAGGCTGTGCCCCCGTACGGTGGTGATCAGGCAGGCTCCCCTCGTCCCTCCATCCCCTCGTCCCTGCGGCGCCCAGGCTGCATCGGAGCC